GGGGGGGAGATTGCTGCGGGGACCCACAAAAAAACGAGGAATTACAAACTTTTAAAGAAAAATTACAACAGCCTCAATCAAAGCTTTAATATCACTTTAATGCTGGCAGCAGGGGCACGGGGGTGGTGGTGGGCATGGCAGGGGCATGGAGGAATGCAGAGTCACAGGCTGACGACGTTCTCTCCTCCCCGCTGGGCCCCGGCTGCATCGGTCTCTGTCCCCTCCAATGCCTGCGGCCTCTGCCAATACAGGCGAGGTAGAGCAGTGGGGATCAGAAGGAGCACAGACCGCAGCATGCATTGGGCTCCCTGTGTGGAGGAGAATGGGGGAAGTAGAGCTGATGCATTGATGGGCCGGGCTCTCCTCACCAGTGAGCAGGGGCTTGTGTCCCACCTGGTCCGTTCCTTTGCATGTATTTCAACTATGCATCTAGCTGTTCAGCTTTCATTTTACTTCTACCCGGTGCATCAAAAAGCAAAATAGGCAAAAGCATGTTAACTTTACAAAGTTTATTGCTAAAGTTTTTGCTTTTGACTAGAGTTGTACTTTATTTGTTTAACAAACTAGGGACACGGGTCATAATTGGTTATAATTCCTTCTTTCCAGTATGTTTCATTTTGTGCCTCTTCAGTTTCAGTGGTTGTGTATATTATAAATTTGTGACTAAATTCTCTTTTCTGAACTCAACGTGCGTGAGAGATTTGCTAATCGGAGGCTGCAGTGAGCCATGTAGTGACTTATGAATATTTGCAGTTTATTATAACCAGGAGCTTACCTTTCAGGGAGTAGGTGATGTTTAGGTATGCATTTTGCCTTTTAGCTTTTAAAAGTATGAGCGCCTCATGAAAATCTAATTTTATGTATGGGTTGCTGAGATATGGAGGTTTAGCATTTCCTGTAACTGTGTTCAGCTTTGCAGAGAAATACTTGAGTCTGAGCCTTGATTCTGTTCTGAGTAGAACATTTAAAGCCATCACCTTCTCCCCAATTAATGAATTCCTTGTTTGTTACTGTGTCTTACCATCTGCCAACGTGCTTGCTTAAAGTTTGCATAGCCTCCAGATGCTCAGTTTTCAAACAGGAATGAACATCTTGAGAATTTGTTTTGTTCTGAAACTTCTGACAAATAGGAACAGGAGTTGTGGAAAAAACAGTCTTTTGTCCCCCAAATACTAATGGATGAAAGTTCTGCTGAGGCTTTCAAATACAGATTTTATGCTACATCTAGGATGTGCTCAGTCCTCTAATTGTAAAACAAGATACCCGCAGCTCCATGGTGCGCAGGCAAAGCTTTTCAAAGTAGAAATAAAGGCAAAACCTTTTTAGATTTGAATAGCATGGCGAGGGGTTAGAACCCATGTCATCTTTTTATTGCTGTCTGTGTCTGCATTCGGGATGTTCTCTCTTTCTAATTTTCCTGATCACCAATGTCACCGAGAATGAAAGTGAGGGTAAATCCAAAATTTTGAGTTGCCACCAGGAGTTGTGGGGAAAATTTACAGTAATGACCCTTGTTCCTTTTGAAGGGTATCCATAGACAAAAATGCATCTGTATTTCTATATTGAATTTCCATAAGTTCTATCCCACTAATATGTATGGTAGTTTTTTTGCGATTTCGCGGGTGCGCACAATTTTAAAGCATGACATGTTTGGTGTCTATTTACCCGATGTGACCCCGTCTTATATATTTTACTAAAAATATGGGTAATAATCATTGTTTCCTAATATAATGGGGGGGGGGGGATTGTTTTTTCCCCAAAATTTTCAATAATTTTTCCTTAATATAGTAAAAAATAAAAACCCCAGTGGTGATTAAATACCACCAAAAGAAAGCTCTATCTGTCCCCAAAAAATAGTATAAAATTCATTTCAGTACAGCATTGCAGGACGGAATAAACGTCAATCAAAGTACCGCAGCGCTGAATACTGAAAATGGCCTGGCAAGGAAGGGGGTCTAAACACCTGGTCTTCAAGTGGTTAAGAGGGGATTTCACTCACATTGGAAAGATATCATCTCACTTCCTGTTGAGTTTACGGTGCAGGAAGTAATAGGACATTTCCCTAATATAGATGGCCAAAAAAAGTGACAGCAGTTTTTATTCTTCCCTGCTATATGCAAAATGTAAAAAGGTTTTGGCTTTATATAAACTTTACATTTTCTCCTATGGCGCAGACAAGTTTCAGACTCGTAACATTGTCTTCTTTTTTTTTTTTTAGGATCCTTGATTTGGACCTGGTTGTACGAGACGAAGATGGAAATATACTCGACCCAGACCAAACCAGCACGATTAGTCTTTTCAGGGCACATGAAATAGCTTCCAAGCAAGTTGAAGAAAGAATCCAGGAAGAAATGGTTGAATACATTATTTTTGTTTACTTTGGTTATTAGTGCTGTGACAGAGAAATCATTACACCAACACAGTGTAGTATGTCTTTGATTAAAGGGCAGGGATGCAATTTAAAATCTTTTATAGGCAGCTATATAAAGATGTGCTTCCCCAAAGGCTCTCTTTAGTGAACATCCTCTGAGAGAACTACTACATGCACAGTTGACATACATATATGAGAATGTTTTTTTTATCTGCTAAGGGACTTATAAATGTTCATCTAGTCTTGTGAGCCAAGAACACCTGCCAGAGAACACAGTCTGGTCCTGCTGCTGCAGCCGCAATACGGCTTAGTCTAGAACTCACCCCCATCCTATTAATTGAACCGTAAAGGAGCAGCAGCTCCTATATATCCTTAGTCGGGTCACTCTGCTTTCTCCTCTGAGCAGCATGCCCACTGCCAGCACATGTGCATTGTAGCTGAGCCTGACTGGCTTATAGGACTGTCCCACCCTCTCCCTCTTTAAAGTGCTAAATTACAGATTACAGGAACCTGATGTAAGGACACTAGCCGTGTGATTTTTTTATTTTTTTTTGTCTTACCTGTTTAGTATTTCCAGTGTTGATTTTATTATACTTTTTTTGTCAGTTGCAGAAACAGAATGACATCAACAGACAAGCCAAGTTTGCCGCCACACCCTCGTTTGCCTTGTTTGTGAATTTAAAGAATGTAGTGTGTAAGATCGGGGAGGACGCTGAAGTTCTGATGTCTCTTTATGACCCTTCTGAGAGTAAATTTATCAGGTCAGTGTTTACCTTTTACCTGGAGATGTGGAACTATGCAATTACCTGTTATTGCTAACATTCTTCCTGACATGAAGGTTGTAGAATGTTATGCTAAACATTAAAGGAGAACCCCGTGCAAATCAAATCTTAACCCTTGCAGTGGGGCTACCCCTGCACTGCAAGGGTTAAGTGTTCATTTTGTGTAGGGAGCTAAACTAATAAAGTTACACCGCTCCTTCCAGCCTGTCTCCTCCTCCGCTTCAACGATGGCATCCGCACACTGTATAGGATGTGATGACTCACAGGACCTTAGACTGCTGGGATGGAGGGAGAGTGAGGCTAAAGGGACCGGTCTAAGAACCAGCCGGGATTGTGGTTCGGATGAGTATAACCCTACTTTAGCTCTCTAGACAAAACTAGCAGTTAACCATTGAACTGTTGGGGTAGCTCCACTGCAAGGGTTAACATTTTATATGCCCAGAGTTCTACTTTAAAGGGTCATTAAAGCTTGACCTGATAATGCTAAATACACAGTTGGAGTTTTTAGTTGAGCTGTTTTACTTGGGGAATTTGTAGGTCTCTGTTCAGGCGGTCTTATAATGCAGGCACCCCTGCTGGGTGATATAGCCAGATCTCTGATCCTGGTTTTCTCCACTTCAGTTAAGAAATACAGCTTTGTCACAAATGCATCACCACCATTCTTATTGTGCAATAAAGGAGCAAGAGCACATTGTTTAACAAGAATGGCAACCTCGCAAATCAATGAATTACTAGCTTTTTAAAGTAAGGTGCACATGGACAGGACATTTACAGGCAATGCAATACAAATAGTTACCAGCACACTTGCCAGCAAAAAACCCCTAAAACATTCTAATTAAAAAAAAAAAATGACATTAAAAACTGAGGTTTTAGTTGCATAAATTTGCAAATATATGTGGAAGCCGCACTGTCAATGCACTCTTTCAGTGAGAGAAAACCCCTCCAAAGTAACGGAAATCCCTGGTGGTCAACAGGGTCATCAGAACTAGTATCCCCCATTGGAAGATTTCCCATCTATTCCTGTTTTGATGTCAACCCGAAATTTGGATTTTCTCTCACTTTCAGTGATAGCATTCACCATGAGAAAACGAGAGAGTGAATCTCCCTAACTGGTCCATAGACAGAGATAAAACTCTATAAAGATGAAGAAATTTCACCAGCACACCACCAGTATTGCAGTCCAAAGAGTTTGTTTATTGGAACATCATGTCGCCAAAACTCTTGCACATGTTCTAATTCCTCTACACTCCATCCACAACTTAAAAACATACTGAAAGTGGCATCCTCCGGTGTTGACAGCGCTTTTTATGAAATCTTATCTGGTACTTCATGCACAGTAATTCCCAGTGTCGGAGCTAAGGAACAAAGGGCCCTGGTGCAAGATTTTTTTTTTGGCCCCCCCCAAAAAACCCCCACAAACAGTAATTCCCCATAGACTTGAATTTGTCTCTGCTCGCACTGTTGAAGTATGGCCCCATTCAGTTCTATAGGGAGGTTCTGTGTAGGCAGCACCAGATAAGCTATTGGGACGATGGCTGTAAACACTGGAGGAGGCTGTAGGGAACAGGTAAGTAAGCACCTGGGGGAGGGGAATTGCTACCAAAAGATAGTATACTATTGGACTTATGCTGTCAGCTACTAGCCATTCTTACTAAAATGTTTGCTTTAATGTTTTCTTCCCTTAGACTCATGCTCCATCTTCAAATTTTAATGTTGCTGTGCAGTGATTTTTCTATCCTGTGATGGTTTTATATGATGTTTGAAATGGGAGAACCATCACTGAAATTAACAAAATAAATATGTTTACGAAAATCCCCAAGACGATTACAAGTGTTTAATATAAATATCGTGTAGATTGCAAAAACTTTAATATTTTTTTTCTTCTGATGGAGGATTTGCAAATGAATCCAGTGTAATTGAAAATTAATGAGGGGAAAAGAAATCCATCGGCAATGCATGAGTTCATAACTGGTTAATAAATCCTACTTGCATTTACAGTAATTAATGAAAGTATCTGAAATGAATGCCATTATTTTTAAGAGTCTTCCTCCTGTAAAGTTCTTAATATGATTTTCTCAGAAGGAATGTAAAAATATATTCTTATAGTAAGTAGCAAAACTCTTTTATCACAATTATTAGTATTTAATGTGTTTTTATAATTGCTGGCATTACATAGATGAAATTGCATCTTCATTTTATTATGGAATAATAAAAAAAAGTGTCTGCTGCTCGGTATTGAAGCAAAATGAAATGCTGGTTTACTGAAAAAAAAATTGAGTCTTTAGGGGCCCATATATGGGAGGTTTTTATTGTGTTGCTATGGGCCTTCACTTTTTTACCTGTTGATCCTGCCAATAGATATTTTTTTTTTTCTTGGTTACAATTGTTTGCTCAGCAGCATTGTCACCCTGTGGACAGAGTAGCCTATAAACATGTAGTTTTAAAGTGGCCCTGTTACTACAGGGTTAAAACAGCAACTATCAATATCTGTATGAAGAAAAAGCAACATACTTTCCTTTTCAGCACCTTGAAACGCCACCACTATGCTGCTTCCCAGCTGCCTCACGTATTGAATTGTATGTGAATTTCTGCTACGTCTGCCACCCACAGTGGTTTCCCCCAATGGCTCCTACATTGCTATAGGATGTACCAGCTGGTGACAGGAACCATTGTGCAATGGGTGGAACAGGTAGTCAACTCATCAAGTCGGCCGAGGACTTGCAGTGGCCAGGGTGTAGAATTGCAGAGACCTTTCAAGACTTAGGGTGTTGCAAAGGTAAGTGTCTGCTGTTATGTCTCTGTAGTTCCGGGTCATTTTAAGTAATTAAAAAAAGTCCTGCTAAATTTTTTTAAACAATTGCAACAGATTTGTTTAATTTTTGTCAAAAAAGGTTTACTGTTGGCGACTGTTCTAAGCACCCCTGGCAGTGTTAATGTTTTTTCCCCCCTCAACTGCAACTGCCACTTTTGCATGCTAGCTTGGTCTGTTTAAAAAACACAGATCTACTGACAGGATCAATTGTTAATAAAACTTACAGGGGGGCTTTGGGTTGGGGTGTGAAGCAAAAACTATTGCATTCATTCTTTTGACAGACTCCATTTATGACATTTTTGGTTTTGTTTATTGTTGTACTTCACGGGACTGATGTATAAAATGCAGATTTCCCTATGCTCCTCGGCGGTGCAAACGGCTTTTGCTCCGCTATACACCTTGTGGCTGTTTTATAAATCGGCTCTAAAGTGTTTCATGACAGGTCCTCTAACATGGTTTGCTGAAAACGGCTAAAGAAGATGAAATAGATGGTCCTTCTGTCTCATTTTTTCTGATTTATTTTCCTAGTAAAGTAAAATGAAGCAACGTTAAACAAAACGCATTTATTTCTTGGTCTCTCATTAAGAATTGACCTGCTCTCATGTAAAATAGATCAGGTCATTGTAATGTGTATTTTTTCAAATTGAAAATGTTCCTAACTCCAATCATCCATCATTTCAAATTTTGCAGTGAAAACTACTTGGTGCGCTGGTCAAGCTCGGGCCTGCCGAAAGATATCGAGCGGCTGCATAATCTACGAGCAGTTTTCACAGTAAGTTATTGCATTATGTGCTGCGGGATGATCTTCAGAGAGGAGTCAGTGGAAAATTATTTTAAAGTTTATATCATTCTGGGATCTCAGCCCTAAGTTGCAGAGACCTAGGCAGCCATGACTTTTCAATCCTGGAGGGGATCATTTAAAGCAAGTTTTCCCAAACTTTGGCCAGCCAGCTAACAGTTTGACACCTTCTGAAGGATTCAAACACCACCGGTCTTATTAAAGGCCAACTCCATCCTAAAACCGATATTTCAGCTTTTTCTAGTTACTGCCAAATTGAATCCTGTGCTAGCCTCTAATATTTGGGGGAAATCCAGTTGCAAAGTCTTCCCATTAGGATTCTCCATTACAGACAAATGCAAAGGCTATTACAAAGCCTATTGATGGTGTCCTAGTCCCCTAATCGGTTTTTCCCAATTTAAAATCCTTTATACTGTTTGTGGAGTCAAGTAGGAGCAAGTGGTAAATAGACAGGACTAGCAAATTGTACAGTTCATGTGCATTTAAAGCAGAACCCCGGGCAAAATTTTATTAACCCTTGCAGTGGGGCTAACCCCACATTGCGAGGGTTAACTGCTCATTTTGGTCTATGGAGGGAAATTAAAATAATTATATTTACCTGATCCTTGGAGTCAGCTTGCTCTTAGACTGGTCCTTCCAGCATCACCCCTTCTCCGCTGCAGAGTCTAAGGTCCCTAAGTCATCACCTTCTATACACAGTGTATAGGATGCGAGCACGCTGAGGGACATACACTGGAGTGTAGGATGAGACAGGCTGGAGGGAGCTCTTTCACAGCCGGCCGCTCTGAGAATCAGGTTAGTATAACTTTTGTTTTTTTGTTCCATTGATCGTTGAACCCTTACCGTGTGGGGTTAACGTCTTTAATGTACATAATGTATCTCACGATGCCTTGAGAAGAGTCACAAAGTACCCATAGTAATAGATAATTTAAGGAGCAGTATACAAAGTATGTATTATTGTAAATTATTATGTATACTGCACCTCTAGTGTTTTAGTCCTGTCGATTTGCTATTGTATACTGGGGGAACTGCATTGAACCCTTCATTAGGAACGTTTAGCACCCAAGCATTCTATAAAGCTTCCTCTTCTCTCACTGTATTGCAGTGTGTAAGGGACATTCTAATTAAAAGTAGAAGCGAGTGCATCTTTACCTGATACAAAGAGACTCAAATCACTGCAGGAGAATCTTTCTAGTTTTGGCAAGAGGTTTTTGAAGATGGTGGGCGAGTCAACTGACTGAAAAATATTTTTGCATAGAGCTGTTTTCCAAATAGTAGCATGTTTAGCATGGTATTGACTTTAAATATCATCACCTACATTCCTAATACCCTGCTAAGCTGTACTTGATTTTATTGCCTAAATTCCCATCAACTTACATTGTTCCTACTTTAGTCTTGCTGTCTCTGCCGAAATGTTTCAGGGGACCGACATTCAGGTAGAGCTAGACAAACCACAGTTCTGCCTGAACAGTGATGCACCCTTTCAGTCAAAAACAGGCAACCAATGTGATTGCACTTGTCACATGACAGGTCATCAGGGAAACATGGATTTGGATAATTATAACAGTTACGTTTTTAGAGTTAAACCTTAATTTAGTTGACATAGGGATCACATTATTGGTAGAGACCGGTGCTATCAGTGGCAGTTGGGTTTTACAGCTGGTGGCGGTGCAAAGTGTAAGCGGGTAGCTCTCAAATGGATGATATGGATTATAGCGTGCTTAGAAAAGGGCCTTGAGCTTGGGAATATCAATCGATTGACTGCAGGCGGGAAGGGGACATGAGAAGGAACAATATTTAAAAAAAGAAAAAATAGAATTTTCAAGAATGTGATTTACTTACCTAAACTTCATTTTACAGGATCTTGGCAGTAAAGACCTAAATAGAGACAAGATAAGCTTTGTATGTCAGATTGTAAGAGTTGGGCGCATGGAATTACGAGACAATAGTACCAGAAAACTTACATCAGGTCTCAGGAGGCCTTTCGGTGTGGCAGGTAACGAACTTATTTACTTTAATGGTATTCGATCAGTTACTCCCTTCAGTGACCAAAGGCAGGAGGAAATTACATTTATTATAGTGTATCTTTTAGTTTTGAGTAGAGTGATAAAGTGTTAAAAACTGTCAGTTTTTTTTATTGCTTTCTGTCCCTGCTGGAGAGATTCAACCTCTCTATTTGTGATCATTGTGTCCAGTGCAGATAGCAATGTGAAGCCAAAGGAAGAGGAGGGTGAGGGGATATCTTCCAATGGGGGCACCAGCTACAGTGACAAATGTGCAAAGCTGGCCATACATGGATCATTTGCCGCTGAATAAAAAATTTGAAATAAACAAATTTGTACAGTTTATGGCCAAGTGTTCCTCTCACGTTGCAGGGATTTCCTCTCCCTGTTGTTAATGTGTGACATACCTGTAAAGCAAAAACAATATGGGCCTTACTGTATATGTTTTGAAGTGAAATTGTTCTTGTTGTCCAGAGGAAAATATATAATAGTATACCATAAGTTGGAATCAAAAGGGAGAATGAAATAATGTGTTAAGAGCTTCCTAATCATTTCAAAGTTTGTTTACTGATCATATAAAGCCACTGATAAATCTCTGACGTTTATGTTAAAGAACAACACTAGTGATGAGGTTGGGCTTGATATAAACCCAGTTCACCGGAGTTTGCCGAAGTCTGCCCAAAACTCTGACCACCCCTCCCTCCTTCCGACCCAATCAATGTCGGAAGTTGTGGTGGGGGTTCCCTGCCCCTTTGTGATCTATAGCTGTGGGGAGAGCAATGAGACAGTTGGAGGGGTGGCAGTCAGAGTTTTGAGCAGGCCCAGCCTCATCACTAAACAAGACAAGTTCTTTATTGTTTCCCTTTGTCTTTTTATAAAAATAATTGAAAACAAAGGGAAATTTCTGCACTATTATATTCGGCAGCGTGTATAAAAATTCTGTTCTTCACAGACCGTATTCTGCTGTTGAATTATAAAAAAAAAAAAAAGAGAATTGTTTGAAGTCCGGAGCAATTTTCACTCTGAGACTTTGACCTCTCTTCTGTATTCAGATATAAGACCGTAATTTTGCTAGAGCAACTGTGAATTATCTGTGATTATAGGTTAATTATTATTATGTATGTTTCATTAGTAATGAAAGGTAAAGTTGTGGCTCTCTCTATTTACCATACAGACTAATAACTCACTATTAAGATGATTAGAGCATACTGCAAGAATATATACAGAAACCATGCCTAAGGCTTCATATGTTTCTCTTTTTTGTTGTTGAGCGTAATGGGTTTTTGTACTCATTTCTCAAGTGATGTTTAAATGAGCAGCCGAGTTGGCCTGTGTATAATAATTTTACAATGTACACTGTTTACTGCTTATGCTGAAGAAGTCAAAACAATTAGGACTTTTGTTTGTAGACGTGTTCCCTACATAGCATGTTACAGCAGTAGGTCTGGACCTGGACCAAAAAATGACTGCTCCCTTGGAGCTTTCCATCTTGAATTCCATGTGTGAGTCACGATGATTCCATTGTAGGGGTGGGTACAGGGACAAAATTACCACATTTACTGTGCAGCTATCTTAAAGGCAAAGTATGGTACATTGTCAACGAGCGCCTATTCTTAGAATTATTGTTGCAGAGGCTGAATTAAAGTAAATGTTTGTGTCTTCATGTTTTGGTTTTCCATGCTATTGTTGTTAAATGCAGATATTCAATATTAGGCACTAGAGACAGGGTAGAATAGCCACCAAAATAAAGCTAGCCATACATTGCTTTAATTTTGACCAATTCCTGTGAACATTGGCACCCCGGGGGGTGTTGGTGGTGCGTGCTATAAGTGTGTGTGCATGGGGTGTTCTAAGCTAGAGGCAAGGAGTGTTGCCTCTGCATCAGCTGGCAACCAGTGATATCACCGGTTGCCAGGATGCTGGCCAGAGCGTCACACCTAGCAATTTGCAAGCAGTGTCATCACTGATTTGCTGGGAGCTGGGTGGGATGAAAGCCAGAGCGCCCCAGGTTACTAAGGGCTTGGCAGGGAGATGTGTATGGCCCGTACACATCTCCCCACCTGGATCTTAGCAACCTGGGATGCTCTGGCTGGAAAGGGGGTGGCAGGCACATTGTGCAGCAGAGCAGAAAATTGTCAGCCGAACAATGACGGCAGCCTATTAGATGCAGACTCTGTTCGGGTATTCAGGCAGCCACACCGCCATGGCTGCTAGAAAGCCGTGGCCACCATTAGGAGATTCTTCCATCCACACTGTTTAATTTGGATGGGGGAATCAAGTGGGTTTTCTCATAAACAGCAAAAACATTTTCTCTCATTCAGCCCTGCAAAACATTTTGTACTAGGTGCTGCTCCCGGTCGATCCATTTGGATCTGCTGACAGAGTGCATAAACCAGCTCTTAACCGGCCACAAACTACACTGTAACTATAAGGAAATGTGGCACTCCTGTGTGTATAAAAGATTGATGTGTAATCTTTAATTCATCAATCCACATACAACATGCTGTCATAGAGCCAACTAGAGAGTGCTCTACGATTTAAGCACAAGCATGCGTGAAATGCGTTAGGATTTTGTCTGATATGCAGATGTGTCCCTCTGTACTCCTTACAGCGTTTAGGACCAATAGCAATTGTAGTGCTTGTAGTGATAATCACAGTTGGTGATGTGTACATCAATCCATAGAAAATGAGGATCTCCAGCACTCAGAAGATGACATTCAAATCTTGATGTTCATTTATTAAAATAAATCGTCACATATATCACATTGCCAAAGTTTGGGAACCACACAGAGTCCCTTCATCAGGGCAACATATTGACAATCAATGCAACACAAAAGCCCACATATATACACTTCTAAACAGCAAATGAGGTTTAAGCACCTCCCCATGACGTCATACTGACACCAAAACTGACAAAATTTAAAAAACAACAGTGCAGAAAAAACAACTGGGAAAGATGTATCATGCATTTCGGGAAAGGGGCTATCCCGATCACATTTTGGAACACACACTAGAAATTGCAAGAGCAAGGTTCCAAACTGAGAGAAGCTTACCTGAATAACGCATTACTTGTCACCTGTTTTAATTCACATTCCCATCTCATCAGACGTACTTTACAGCGCAATACTAACATCCTGATGGCAGATAGGACACTTAGGCCCACTGTTAAACAAACACCATGGATAGTGTATTCAAAAAAACAAGTCCATTAGGGACTATTTGAACGTCATCTTCTGAGTGCTGGTGATCCTCATTTTCTAAGGATTTTGTCTGAGACATACTGTATGCCGATTGATGAATTAAAGATTACACACCGATCAATACACACGGGAGAGCCGTGTTTCCTTATAGTTACAGTGCAGGTTGTGCCTGCAAAACATTAACTCACGTTTGTAATATATTTGTGTTTCCATCAAAATGATCCCTTTTACATGCATTTAATAAATTCTGTAAGCTTCTATATATAAGCTTTCTGTACTTCATAAACTGAGATGGGATTAGTAAATTGTAGATCTAAAGTCTTAGACTTTTTTTATTATCCAATTGATTAATTAGTGGCTAATGGTTTAAGACGATAATGGAGAATAAATGTACTTATTTGATAAATGTAAAATCTAATGTTTATTCCATCTATGCCCTCCGTTAAAATATTCCATCCATTAACACACACGGCTACCCGGAGGACTGTATTAATTCTATGCTTCTGCTTCCAGTAATGGATGTGACTGACATAATTACCGGAAAACTCGATGACGAGGACAAACAGCATTTTATACCTTTTCAGCCGTAAGTACAATTACAGAAAACGTGCATAATTATAATCCAGATTCTGATGCTTTAAATATTTTTTTCCCTGCACCGATAACAGCCAGACACAGTGGATTAGCATTTTACTTTGTTTTTTTAAACAACCACAACCCACCATTGTATGTGTATGTGATGTAGGTTCATTTTACAGGCACTCTTCATCAGTCATTGAGGATTGGCTACATCCATCCTGTGCCTAATGGTTAAAATTTGGTAAAGATGTTTATGATTGCCGTTGACGTCATTTACATCACCTAGATCAGTGCTCCCCAACCTTTTTATCGCCGTGGATCGGTCAACGTTTGATAATTTTACCTCGGATGTACCGGGCCGTGGCCCGGGGTTGGGGACCACTGACCTAGATAATTAAAATCTGATGTGATTCTGACATATTTGGTAAACTATATTCATATTTTTGTTTAATTGCACTATAAATACTTATTATAGCCAAAATAATAGGAAGAATTGAATATCCAAAAAGGAAAAATATGCTGTGAAGATGATCACCGTGAAAAATGAGGCTTTAGGAGACAGATGTCTGGAGCAGTCCTTGGAAACCCAAGAGATTTTTTTTTTTTACTTCTGCACTTGGTTTCCTAAATGTACTAACCCTTTTGAAGGTTTAGAGTTCTCATGCAGCTTAAAACGTATCTCTAGGCCACCTTTTCTCAACCTTTTTTTTGGTAAAGGCACCCTTTAAAATTATGCAAAATCTCGAAGCACCCCAGTCTAAAATGCCAAAGATTTTAAGGGAGACCCAACACAAAAAACACAAGAATGTGGGTTTCCCCCTTTTAAATCAAGATCCCCCCTTTTACATCTGAGTCACCCTTTGCATCAGGGGTCCCCCTTTCACATCAGGAGCCCCCCCTTTCATATCAGAGTTCCCCTTTTACATGAGGGGCACCCTTCAGATTAGTCTTCATTCCCCCTTCACACCACATTCCCACTGCCACAAAATTTTGAGGCACCCTTGAGGAGGCCAGGGGGCTCAGCAGTGTGTCACAGCACAGTGTTAGACCCTCAGATCAGGTTTTTATTGCTGTGTTTCCCTAAACAACAGTAAAAGATTTACCCTTTGTATTTGTCCTGGTGACTTTTGTCACACAGAAAGAAAATGGAAAATCCAAAGTTGTCTCTAGAACAAAACATGAGGGGAAATCTTCTAATGGAACAGTTGTTCTAGGGGCAACTGTCTAAAGGGGAATTCCCCTCACTTTGGGAGATTTCCTCCAGGAGTTGT